CACTCCTTGTTCTTTAAATAGGGTGTGCTGATTAAACTGAGAAAACATTATTTTGCAGAAAAAATGTAGTTTTAGGTACTGGGGCATAAACAGACCAAGCCATAAGTAATTCTTCCTAGCTTTGTTCAGAGAGGGATTATTTTTTTCATAACTGCAATGAAAAGAAATAACAAGCTAATTCCTATCGTTACTCCTTAATTTCTTTTCAGATTAGGTGTAGCAGAAAATTAAATGTTTTAACTTCCCTCAGGACTGGCATTGAAAACTTTATCTTGGAATTTTAAAAAGAATTCTTGTCGTGACATGTAACACTGAGGTCCTTATGTCTCTTGGTATTAATGTTGGTCTGCGAGAAAGCAGAAAATAATTGATAAATGTAGCTTAACCAGTGGTATTTACCACCTGGCCCATTTGAAAGAAAAAGTTTAATTTTCCTAAAATGACTGATTGGTCTCTCTTTTCTAACAATCCTCTTCTCCCTTCTGCTCCCTTCACAAAATCATTTTTGTGTCCCATAAGCATTGATTGTAGCTTTTTCTATGACTATTGCCAGTACACAGCCCAAATACCTTATTAAAAGCCTGGTGCAGCAACTGCTGCTTGGATTCTTTCAGTGAACTTTAGCTCAAAATAATTGTCTCAAACTCAAGTTGAACTTATGAGTTATGATATGATTAAAAAAAGATCATTGAGTACTGTAGAACATGGAAAATATTAGAAAGTTACTTTGGAATCATTTGTGGGTGCTGGGAACTTCTCTGGTGCAGAATGTGCTTTAAAAAGGTAAAGAAGTGAGCATTTAGTGTCTTTTAATAATGTTCCCTTATGAAAGAAGGAATTTTTTTTGACCTAGGTCAAAGCTTTTAGGACAGATTGTTTCCTTATAAGCATTTTTAAACAATGGTTATGTTATTAAGACTCTTGGCAAAAAGATCAAGGAGCGGGAGGAGGATAGGGGAGGGTTTTGTGTGTAGTCCAGTCAGAGGTTTGAAAACCTGTTTTGGAGGATGTAGTGGAATTTTTTATAGAATGGGATTTTCTTTTAAAAATATAGGACATAAAATTCTCAAAGACTTACTGAGAGTGGTTTCACTGCTGTTTTACAAACATGAATTTAATTCAATTTCTTCAATCAAAACAATATTCTGGATATGGGAACAAAATTGGGGTCTGAAACACAATGAGTAGTTTATTCAGTCAGCATTATCCCTAGGTTTACCTTAATAGGTAAAGTTAAGAAATCAATTAACTTTATTAAATTTTTTTTAAAAATAACATGCTTATTGGTTTGGGTTTTTTTAAATTTATAAAAAAGAAAGCAGTTAAAAATGCAGTTAAAAAAAAAATGCACTCAGAATTGTTGAGGTGGCATGTTGGCTATGGGGAAGCATAAGGAGTTTTTGAGGATATACATGAGATGGTCTTAAATGAGGGTTTGAGATGTTTGTGTCCAAAATGGGCTGCTCCTGAATATCTGACTGAAAGTGACACCAGGTGTGGTCAAGATTGATGATCAATCAATTCTTTTATCAAAAACAGCAAGCTGAGAGAAGGAAATCTGGTTTCTATGTCTGCCTCTCCCAGCTGTGATCTCTGACAACCTTCCACACCCTCATCTGGAAGGACATGTGATGCCAGTCTGCCTTCTGATCCCCAAATGAGTAAAACCAACAGTGAATCGGGGAAGGGGGTAGCAGTAAACTTGTGATCTTTTGTCCTTTGTGCCTCTGTAGGTCTGATCTGGCATGCCAGGAACCATGGGACTAAAACTGCTGGAATTCAGCTGTCTTGCTTAATATCTCTCATTTAAGTAGAGGCCCGAGTCAACACAATAAAAAGTGCTTATGACTTTCTTCCCTGAACACTTGATATAAGTTTATTTTCAAATTTTCACATTACTCTTTCATAAAATGTGCCTGTTTTTAAGTAGAAAACCTAGTAAAAGCTGTTTTTTTCCCTTTCTTTGTATATTCATTTATGATTTGGAGAGGAGATTTTTGAAATCCATTATCATAAAACAGTATTATTACAAGGCTTGCTGGTACCTCAGCCTTGCAGGCAACAATTTGGAAGTAAGTTTATGGCATCAGCTTTTTTTACAAGGATCCAGGTGATGTCCCTGTTGGTGGTATGACTCGGCATGCTGTGAGCTCAGAGGTGTGTGGGAGTGCTGATATTCTCCTTCAGTCACCTTGTGCACTTAGCCCTGCGTGTGAGAACCAAATACATGCTTGTCTCACCACCTCAGGGCAGATTTGAAGCAGGTGCTACCAGTTTGGTGTTCTGGGAATTCTCGAACCCAGTGGCTGCTTTAAAAGATGGGAGTTAAAACAGGCTGAGGAGGACCCAGGGTGTTGTGCTTCATTTGTGATCAGTACTTAAAAGGTGCCTGTAAGAAAGATGGGAGCCAGCTCCTGTGGGCCTCTTGTGATAGGAGAAGGGGTGATGGTTCTAAACTGAACGAGGGTTAATTTAGATCAGATGCAGGGAAGAAGTTTTGTAGCTGGTGAAACATTGGCACAGGTTGCCCAGAGAGGAGGTGGATGCCCCATCCCTGGAAACATTCAAGGCCTGGTTGGATGGGGCTCTGAGCAACCTCTTCTAGTTGAAGATGTTCAAGTTGTTCTATTATGTTTTGCCTCAGAGAAAGTAAGCTATCCCATGTTCTCAGATGGTTTTAAGGGGTATTTATTCAGAATTAGAGTGAGATATGACAGAGCCAAATAATCTTTCCAAAACATTCTTCAGAGCTGGAACTTCTTTCTTTCTTACTCAAACACCCCTCCCCTGTGACTTCCCTGACAGAAAGCATTTCTTCTTTCATTTTCAGAATTATTGTAGTCTGCCTGCTGTTTACAATCACCTGCTCAGGACTCTTAAAACCAGACTTCTCACCTAACTATGTCCTTCGTACTCCTTATTCTCAGGATTTTGCAGTTTAGCTGCTCTAACCTCTTCCCTCCCCCAATCCCTCTTACCCACAGTGTCATGAGCAGCTGCTGAGCCCTGCTGAGCCTGGCACTTCATTCATCTTCCTGCTAAAGCTCCAGCCTCTCTTTCTGTCAGGTACTGCAGAAACAGGACAAGTCAGTATTAGAGAAAAGCCTTACCCCTGATTGGGCTCTGAAAGCACAAAAGATGTGTGTCAGGTGACAAGGATGGACATAGGGTATCAAGTGATGGCCAAAGAGTTTGAAACTCGAAGCTGCTCTTTGCTTCAGAGGCCCCTGGGCACAGCTGTCCCTGGACATGCAGCGCTTCTGCTGGGGGAGTCCTGTGCGAGGGAGGGCGTGTGGGAATGCTGCAGGCAGCATTCCTCCTACCCTGAGACCAGTGGCAGAGGGAGAAGCACAATGGGGCAGAGGGATGTGGCTGCACGTGTAAGGTACCAGAAGGGCTGCTTTTGTGGCTGCTGTAGCAATGGTGGTATCTGGTAACTCTGCAATCGTGTGTGTGACAGAGTTACTGGTGCATTGCCTGGGATTAGCAGAGTTCTGAAAGGCAGGAAACTGAGTTTGTTCCTTCATCATTGCAGTCAGAAGTGAGTCACAAGTACACAGTTCTGTTTAGATCCAGTTTGTAGATGAATGTGATAGAAGCAAAGACAAATGTTGATACAGGAAGTAGAGTTTAGTCTAGATGGAACACAACTATGAGCTGGGTGTTTAGTATTTATTTTAATATGAAATCTGCTTCTTATGTGAAACATAAGCTTCCTGATTTTCTCTTAGTTTGAGAATGTTATTTTGGTTTTGTCATGCCAACATGGTCCTGGAGTTGAGAATTCAGTCAAGGCTGGAAAAATGCAGAAGAGTGATAATCCTATCTCAAACCTTTTACAGAAAGACTGATTTTGGAACTTACCAATCTGTTAAGTGGCCTTCACAGAGGACACAGAACTTCCTCCAGTAATTTTAAAGATATTTTCTCAAATTTGTTGGATATTCTACCCTTCAGGTTACCTATAAAAGAAACAAGGGAAAGGGCAAGAAAACTGCCTGTAGATTTTGTTCCTAGGTTTGAGTACATCCAGGCTGCCTGTTTCTATTGAACATGTTTATTGTAGGAAGAGAAGCAATTTTGGAAACTTGCCATTTTATCTTGTGACTGCGTCTTTTATAGAACAGTGGCAAAAAAGGAAGCTGTATCCTGTGTTGTATGACATTTTGCAATAGTGGGCAAAATATTTCTTACTGTGCTGTAATATGTAAATTAGCATAGTTTTGTCCAAAATCTGAGAAAGTTAAAAAACTGTTTCTCTACATGATATCTGTTTATTACAGCAAAGTATTTTATTTCTTCCTGGTAAACAGTCCTTATTAATTAAAAAAATGTGAGAAGGCAAAAATAATTGGAAGTAATTATTTGATGATTTTTGTTTAACAAATGTGGCTTGCAGGAGGAAATTTATGTGGGTTTGGAAAGAACAGAAAAGATTACTGTTTTAGGAGTTTCATGCTGATGCCCAGATATTGAGTCAATGACTGCAGAAGCCCTAAAACAAAGAATTGAGGAAGGAATTGAATTTGTAATTTTGTTATGAGTTCCACCTTTTCAGGAAAAAAAGTGAAGCCACTCGATTTTGCCTGGGTAATTGCTAACAATGCAAGTAGGTGGTGGAGCTGCTTCACCCGGTGTAAAACTGTTGCACAGTTTAACACACTTGTCTCTGCCCATGTGGTCAGTTTGGGATATCAAAGCATGGCAAGACAACTGCTACAGAGATTGATACATTTCTTACTGTTTTGAAAAAGTCTGGTCAAAGCACTGAAATTCATATATCTTGAATGCAAAGGAGATGGGGAAGGTTGAAAGCTTGACTTAACAATGACTTTATGAAAAGGTGTTCTGCTAGGCCTGTGGAGGCTAGGGCACAGAAAAGGGTAAGCATCAGTGGCATTAATTTGATTTAATTATAGAATATTCACAGAGTGATTTTTTTTTCTTTTTTTTTTTTTTTCAAATTCTAATATGGTCTCTGCATTTTTCTTCCCTACCAGTATCCCCTTGTGTTTGGACTGATCCTGGCATTCTGCTGGTGTTCTTTGGTTTGCTGTAGTCGAATTTATATGGGAATGCATTCAATTTTGGTAAGAAAATAATCTACTACTGAACTTCTGTCATAATCTTGTTCTCATTTTATAAACTTCCATCACATTGAAGGTTTTACAGTGCAATAATTATATACAGATGTATTTTTTGTAATGTCCTACCATACAGAAACAGAAGACTTACATTTCTTCAGCATAGAAATAGATAAACTAGCTAAAAGTGGCTCTCACGCTAAACTTATACTTGTCTTTTATAAACTCCGTCCACAGTTGAAACCTAAAAGGTGTTTAATGTCATTTTTTAGTGCAGAAATTGATGACTGCTCTAAAGTCTAGAGTAAATTTTCCTCTACAGAGTAGAAATCATTTTGCAGAATGAGGAAGTGGCTGTTAAAGTTCACTCCATGTCAGCTGCTCAAGCATGTGCATTTTGGTGTGCCACTCTGCACGCTAGAGTTTCATTTACCAGAGTTTTTAAAACCAGGTAACTAAGTTGTCATCTTTGAAAAACAAACTCTTTTATTAAACAGATTAAAATTCTCCAAACTGAAACACAAGTGCAATGTAGAAATGAGAAAACAAGCAGAAAGTGGTAATTGCAATGCAAGACCACTTATGAGGGTGGCTAAAGATGTTTTTGAAGATGATGTGCTAGAAGAAAAGCTAACAGACAGAAAAGGGTAAGCCTGGTAGGGAGTAGAAAAGCTGGTAGATGAACATAGTGTAAAAGGAGCATGGGAAAATAAGGCAGCTCAGAAAAATGAAATGACATTTTTGCATCAGTAGTTAGAAGGCTTTCCAATCTAAAACCACTCTGTCAAGGATGATGTGATGGACTGATGTTCAGCTGACACAAAATGTCATAGAACAAAGTTGTGCCACAAATAGTGGGCAAGCAGACAGAGCTATTTTGCAGTTTCACATCTCAGTCTGCAGAGTTTGAGGGAATACAGTTCACCATGTGGTGCCTGCAATATACATCAACCACAGTGCCTAGGTTTGGGGGGAATAGGTGGCAAATACAGCAGAAAGGTTTTTTTCTTGCTTCTGAAATGAACAAGTCTGATGTTTATATCAGTCAATTTTATTAGAGCTTTTATCAAGCTTTCAATTAGTGGAAGCAAATAAAAATGATTCATTGATGCTGGAGCAATACAGACTCTGCTGATTGAAGTCCCACCTCCTGGCTCATGTGGAAGAGCTGATAAGCATGAAAATGAAGGCAGGCTGCTTTGTAGTGCTTGGATTGCACAAATTCTTCATTAACAATCAAAGGTGACAAAAGTAGCAGAGAGTTCCATGCAACTGAGTGATCAGTCAACAGTTAACTGAAATTTAATGCTGAAGTAAAAAAATCATTGGGTAACCTTTTCACTAAGAAAATACCTTTAAAAACAATAGTAACAATGCAAATCAGTTGGGAAGCCACAGAGGTTATCTCTTCCTCTCATTTAATATTTGGAAACAGTTCCCATTATTCCAGCATTGTTAATTCTGAAGCAGGAGTGAAAGTTGAAGCTGCTCTAGTGCCTGACTGCAGTGGTCCTTGACTGCTGCACCAGCTGCTGCTGCTGCCAGCGTTGGGTGTGTTGGCACCCAGGCCCTCAGAGCCACTCTTGAGCTGTTTCAGCAAACTTAAGTTGGCAGAACATATTTAGCTGAGCTGGATTTGTGCTGACTGTAGGTTGGAATGCCCTGGCCCTGGACAGGGACCAGTGTTGCCAGCAGAAAAAATCATAGAAGAATCACAGAATAGTTTTGGCCTGGAAGAGACCTTTAAAGATTATCTAGTCAGAGCCTTATCCAACCTGACCTTGTATGTTTCCAGAGACAGGGCGTCCACCACCTCTCTGAACAACCTGTACCAGTGCCTCACTGGAAAAAAAAGTCTTTCTTATTCCAGTCTGAATCTCCCCTTTTTTAGTTTAAAACCATCACCCCTTGCCCTGTTGCAACAGGCCTTACTAAAAAGTCCAGACCTGCAACTTCAGTGAAGGATCCTTTGATCATAACTTCATTCATGATCTGGTCAGGATGCAGGTGATTTGTTAATAGGTGATCAAATGCATTTCCTTACCTTATGTTTAACATAAGAAAGATGTAATCCTGTAAAAGGTAAAATATGGGAATCCACAAGTTGCTTTTAACACTACAGCAGCTAGGCTTGAATTCTTGTTAATGCAACTTGAGGGCTTTTTTAAAAATACTTACTACACTGAAACCATCTCTTTCTCTTCAACAGGACGTTATTGCTGGATTTCTGTATGCTATTCTTATCCTGGTTATCTTCCATCCACTTGTGGACCTGATTGACAACTTCAACTTAACTTACAAATATGCACCTTTAATTATCATCAGTCTCCACTTGGCCCTGGGCATCTTCTCTTTCACCCTGGACACGTGGAGCACGTCGCGAGGAGACACAGCTCAGATCCTGGGCTGCGGTGCCGGCGTGGCCTGCGGCTCTCACGTCAACTACATCCTGGGTCTGCAGCTGGATCCTCCTCCCCACACCTTGCCCTTGTCCCTGTCCTCCCTCACCGTGACTGTGTTTGGAAAAGCCATCCTGCGCTTGTTGATCGGCGTCATCGTTCTGTTGTTAACAAAAGTGGCCATGAAGAAAGCCACGATTCCTCTGGCGTGTAAAATATTCCGCATCCCACAGGGCGACGTGCGGAGAGCCAGGCAGCGCATGGAGGTGGAGCTGCCCTACCGCTATATCACCTACGGAATGGTGGGCTTCTCCCTCATGTTCATTGTTCCTTGCCTCTTCCATTTCATTGGTCTTTCCTGATGCAGTTTGATCACTTTGGGTAGGGAGAACTGAGCTAGTTGCTTTTTGAAAAGGTGCACTAGTTTGCTAAGGGAAGGCCAGCCAGCTTGGCTTTAGCAGGGTCTTCCTATTAACAGCAATACAAAGCAAGCAAAGCATTTAAAGGGCTTTGCACATCTCTGGGGATGGTTTAGGGCCAGCAGTCAAGCATCAGTCCAGGAGAAGTGCTGACCTCTGTAAATGCTGTTTTTTGGACTTATTGCTGTAACCAAGTCTGTGTGTGTGTGATGCAGTGAATGTATGTGGGATGGCTGCCAGGCTGTACCTGTGTACACTGACACTTTAGCAGGTGTGTCTGACAGCTGATCAGAAGGCTTCATTCATGATCTGTTTGCCATTTCACAGCAATTAATTCAAGTTGTTGGACCATAAACTGTTACATTTGCTTTCTTCTATTCTTTCCTGAAGTCCTGCTTCAAGGTATTTCAACTAATAGGTATTTTTAACGGACCAAACTTGTAATGAGGTTGAATTTTTCTAAATAAACAAGCAAAAGCCTTTTGCTTTGGCCCCATTTGCAGAGAAAAATGTCTGGATTAGCATTGGTAGATATCACTAGAGTATGTATAATTCAGGTACTGTATTTTATGGTTTAATAACTGTGCCTTTCTGTTGCTAAATTAAGAAATGCCATATATACTGTGATGTAAAAATGCCTAATTTTATGGAAAATCTTACGTAATTAGGCAGATATTAAAAAATGTTAATTGTCCATGTTGCTGACATGGTCCAGGTTAACCAGAATGTTCAGAATTTCCTGATCAAAATTGCATAAATGAAATGACCCAGGAATTGTGTCCTTGAGCTCAAGATATTGTAAATGAATAATAGTCCCTTTTGTAAGTATTTTTAATGTGTATTGTAAGTTACTGCAAGAGGATATATTTTTCTGGAGATTGTTTATACAGTGGATGGATATTCAAAATTAATTATTTAAACATATAAACAATAAAAGCACCCCATTCCGCAAAGAAATGGGCTTCACTTATTATTCCAAACTAATCTAGAAGGACCACTGCTTTTAGGTATTTGGTTAGAAAATATTATACTTATTCTAGAAAAATCTGTATTTTTATGCATTAGCATACTATATTTAAAGGTGATAATCACTTTTACCCAATTTAGTTAGTTATAAGACAATGTAACAGTTAAACTTTTAATCATTCTGATTGACAGATTGTGAGCAGTCAAGACAGTATGGTCAATGCATGAACAGTTTGTGATGTCTAAATTTGGCAGGATTTTATTATGTGCTTTTCAGCTTTTCATGATCCTTTTCCCTTCAAGTGTAATTTCATGTGCCTTTTTTCTGTTTCATTTTGTCTTGTTCATGTGTTGCCTGATCTGTTATTTCCATGTCAGGAACACTGCAGGAAGCGCTGTCTTAGTGTCTGAGCAGACACAAATTAATTAATTTTGTATTGTACTTGTTTTTCAGGAAAAGCATCATTTGGTTGGGAAATATGGTGATTAGATAGAATACAAAGCCTACATTTTTTGTAAGCAGTATTTGGTTTTAGAAGGTTTTTTGTGTTGGAGATGATATCTTTAAGCTGTTAATATGTAGATTGACAAAATTAACTTCACTTGCTTTGAAGCAGACGAGGTTTATGGTACGCTGGCACTGGATGATGTGAAAAACTCAACTTTTCTGGTGCATTTCTGCTGTTCATCCTGAATGCACTGCTATGAATGTATCAAACTGAGGTATTCAGACCTGAGAGTATGTTAAACAACTTCCACAGCTGAAAAGATCTTACCCAGTAGAAAATGGTCAGCTTGTTTCAGTGTCTATTTCTGGATTTGATTTTTGGGTCTGTTCCTCTTTAGCAGTTCAATGCAGAATGTGCAGCAAAAGGTGAATTGGTTTCTGAGGTTTTGAGAGTGGGATTTCCACTGATTTGGCTTCGCAAACCAAGATAGCCATTAAATAAATAGCTGGGAGAATGTACACAAAATGCCTTATGCTTAAAGCCCTAAGCAACTGGTGTAGTTTCAGTGATATTTAGTTAGTCTGAAGACTGTTAAAAATAATAGGATAACTTTCTCTGAAATTTAGGGCATATTCTTCTTAAATATCGTAGCTTTACAGTTTATAGCAAAAAATGTTTAAATTCTAGCACAGAAAAGGTACGTGAGCAAAACTAATTTTTTAAGGTACATATTGGACTTGTAGAAACTTCAAGTTTACATCACAAAGAGCATAATTAAAGCTGTATTTTCTAGCTGTGCTTGCTCTCTTGTAGTATTAATGGAACAGGAAATGTACTGTGGAGGACCTGGAACGGGTGAAAAAGATCACACAGAGCTTTCAACAGGCTAAGGAAAATTGCACTGTAGCTTATTCTACTGTCATAAATTTATTTTTTATGTTTTTATACAGTACATTGTGTAAGCTCAAAATGTCATGTTCCATATACCACTTCCCAGGAAATGTCCATCAGAATGTCTGGACAGCACCTTCAGCAATTACTTCACTGAAGTTTACATGAGAAAAAGTTCTACTGTTCTATTTTCATGTTTTATAAGAGGTTAGGCTTCAGATGGCAGTTAGCACAAAATGTGATGCAACATGAATACCTTTAGAGGATAAAGAATTACAGATATGCAAATGCTTAAAAATCCAAGTAAAGTATTTGTATTGTTGTATAATTTTGTTTTCTGATAAGCTAAGATTCCTTGGAATTGGGCAGAACAAAGCAGCAGGTAAAACTAGAGCACTTTCTTTGCCCTAATCTATTCTTAGAGTTAAACATGAAAAATGTTTCTAGTCTGAGCACCAGCTGGTACCAAATACTTTATAAATAAGTTAACATAGCTTTAAGAGGTAGTGAAATGTCTTTCCAGAAGGAAAAATGCTTGAAACCCTTTATGACATGGTGCAAAAACATCCTGCTTGTGGACTCCCTCAGTCCCAGAGAGAAATACTACTTCATAGAACCAGGTATAAATGCATATTTATCACAAAAAGCTGCAGGCTAAATTTGCCTTTTTTAATTATTATATGAAATAAACCTTTAAAGTAACAGGCAGGTACAGAGCAGTTTGACACAAAATTCTCTTTTCCAAGAGGCTGAAGAGATGCAAATTAGTCTGAGACTGCCTTAAACATAGGAGCAGGATTTTTTCTGGCCTGGCCCTCACTGAGAACTGACATGTGCATCTTGGGTGAGTTTTAGAATCTGTTATTTTGGAAAAATGTTTCATGTTTATAAAAAAGCATTGCTTTTGCTTTTTCCTGTGTGATCACCTGTGAAGCTGTTGGGTCTCTGAGCAGGAGGTGGAGGAGCCACTTGAAGGTAAATTGGCAAACCAAAGGGAGTTGGGTTTTATTTATTTATTTGGAATTTTTTAAGGTTATGTACAGCATTTCTCCTGGAAAGAAAAACCAAACAGAAAGATGCATTTCTTTTTAAATGGCATCTCCAAATGTGATATGTGGCTTTTGTGTTGTTTGTTTTTTTTTCTTACCAGAACAGTGTTAAATTGTCTGGCTATTAGAAGCTAATATGTTTTCCTTTGTTTGTTGGTTTTTTGTTGGTTTTTTTTTTTTTTTTTTTTTTTTTTTAATTACTGCTCTCAGTATTTTTACTCCATTTTTTGCTTATTTCTGAGACAGTGTCCAGAACTTCTGTACACAATTGCTACTTATGTGAAGATTGTAATTTTGAACTTGTAAATAATTAAGGGTTGTTACTTGCAAAAATATATAAAAACAAATCCTTGCATGCTGTAAGTAAACACATCTGTTGTGCTAAAAGTTGTTTCTGTTTCAGTATTCGCTTTCTCAATAAAAATCCCAGTTTTCACACACAATAGAGAAGATATTAAATAATTCAATGGCATGAAGGGGCTTTGCTGTCAAACCCCTGCTAACTTTGCTGGGAGTTCTGTGCTTGGTTCCTTCCACACGACGCTGAGAATGAAGCTGAAGGGCAAGGCCGTGCTGACCTGTGAGCAGGCTCAGTGAGTGTGAAGTGACTCAGCTCTAAATGTGACAGCCTTGCTTTTGGGGGATTTTCCTTGTTAAAATCACACTTAGCCCTGTTTTTACAAGATTGCTAAAGGGCTCAACTTGGAAGTCCATTCTCTGTAGGTGGAACTGGCTGCACATTTCTAACACTTGCCCTCTGTACCATAATTCCTTGAATGAAGAGACCCCAGAATAAAGTCAGTAGATAAAATGAGAGGAGCACTGGCTTCTTGGGGTATTGTGACTCAACTTACTGTAACTGGTTCTTGAGTGGCTCTTTGGTCTGAAGTAGAATGTTTGCTGGTTATAAAATTTATTTCTGTATTCTACAAACAACTTCGAGGAATCTTAACTTTTTTGTGGCAGGAAGTTGAATGACTTCTTGCCAGACTTCATTCTACAGGAAAACTTAAGTGGCCTTTTGTTTCAGAAAAAAATTATATAAGCCTGTTTTAAAATTTACTGCAAATGATATATTTGTCAAATTGATAGATGAATTGGGTCACTAACATAGTTTTTCTTGCAATACTGAATAAAGGCAATGAAAGCCGAATTTAGAAACAAAATGTGGTATTGTGTGGCAGAGAGGATAAAGCACTTTAGGTGTTCTCTGAAAAGCAAGTATCACATGCTGGTTTTGAAGCAAATTTAGCCATGCATTAGAAAAATTTCTTTGCACTCCATTCTGCACCAGAAATTATTTGCAGCTTGGTAGGAGGCCTTATAAGAAAAGAAAGGAAAGCAGGGTGTGCTTGCAGTGTATGATCAGTAACTTTTCCTGTAGGGTCAGAGGAGAAGAGAGGGTACATGGGATAACAGTACCTTAGAGATACTGACTAGTAAATGTAAATCACATCAAGTTGGAGAATTTTATTCATCACTGAACTTTGACTAAATTAGTCAGTAAATTTTCCCACAAGTTTATTTTTGTCAGAAAGTGTAATGAAAGATAAGAGTGATATTACTGAAATGGAAATTAGCTCTTAAGACAATTCTAGATGACTAAAGTATCAAAACTGAAAAAGATCAGTTCAGGAGAAAGTAATGGGAACAGTCAGAGTCGAGTCTGAGGGGGATTTTGTATTAAACTTAATGCACTTAAAAATTATGCCAAACTTTGGCCTACACTTGATTTATATGAAATCTGTAGTACAATAAAAAAATCAAACTTCAATATGTACACCCCTAGCAGGCCTGTTCAGATAGTGAGGATGACCAGGAAAACAGAAATGCCTGTCTGCAGTCTGTTTTCCTACCTGAATGTGCCGAGAACATCCACTCAGCTTCTTGGGGACAGCTACAGGAAACAGGGAGGCTGAGGAGGAGCCCTCAGTGCATGGCCCAGGTTCTTGCTTTCAACAGGATCCACTATAAAATCCTAACCTGGCCCCCTGTGCAGGTATGAGAAACTGTGAGTGCTGTTACCGACCGCAGCATTATTAAAATTAAGGATTGCTGTAGCAAAGAGATGAAAGACACATCTCTGTTACTGCAGGATGAAGGAAGTTGGTTTAGGTTATGTGAAGTCAGGCACTGCTAACTCTGAGCTGCCCTCTAAAAACGGTGTCTTTACCCAACAACTTGACTTTGCAATCAAAACTTCTTTTTATTGTACTACGTAATTAGAGTATATAATTTAATCAGCCCTTGATTTTGGTTTATTAAATGCTTATTCAGCACTAAGTGGCAATTAAGCATTGAAGTGCCTTCAGTGAATCCCAAAACCTGATTATCATCAGTCATAATAAATTTGCCTCACTTGTACATTTTGTCAAGTTCTGCAGATAGAACTGCCAAAAAATGCCAGAGAGGTTTGCAAGCTCCTCCCTCCCCCTTATCCCCAACAAAGAGGAGAACTGACAAGTGAAACCAATGAGCTGTACCTTTTAAAGATGTTAAAAATAAACCCCTTTCTCCAGCAAACTGCATTAACTTCTGCTCCTTCAGCTGCAGGAATCTGCTGATGGAGTTGTGTTTGCTGATCCCTGGAATGTAACACTTTGTCTCTATGCACACAGGAGCTAATTACAAATCGTTATACTGGAAAAGTTGCAAGCCAAACTACACTGCCACAAAAATAGCCTTGGCATATCAGGTAGATGCAAACACACAGAAAAAAAAAAAATTCTTATTCCAGACAATTTGCTGTTTGAGTTCTTGACCTCTAGCCTAGAGTACATGACACTGAAACTCAGATTTGTTTAGACTTTGGTTTCTTTTAAGGTGGGGATCTTAAAGATTCCTTTCTCAAAATATCTTTTATGTCTGTAAAGTCAAGTCTGTATCTTTTATGTCTGTCGAAAGTTACAAGTGATCTCTGGAGCATCTGCCCTGCAATTCCTCTGGTAAACTTCACAGCTGCATGTGTACCTATGGTACCCTGTGACTCAGCAGCATTGGTGTGCTACCCAAAAAATGGTATTTTCTGTTAATACAGCTGCACATGTCTGGGAGTACTGGGCACCAAACCCGTGGCTGTAAACTGTGGCTTTCCAGTTGATCTTGCAGCTGTTTTTACCATGTGAACAATGAACAGAAGGTATTTGATGAATTTGTGGCAACTGCCCTGGGGAAACTCAGATGAAAAACTACCAGCTGAAAATCTTATTGTAACACTGGCATTTGCAACACCGTCTTATAATGCATATTGTGTTCTCAGTGAAATCATCTGCCTCCTGTTTGGAACTCTCCAGAACTAATCTCACCAGTGTGAGCAGACTTTAGCTCTGGGTGACAGCTCGGGCAGGACGAGGCTTCACAAAGAGGGAAAGGTATTTACTATGAAAACATGAGTGTGTCATTTGGGCCTTTGTGCTTTGATGTATCTTGATATTTTTCTGTGTGCACTGCGCTGTAAAAACGTCAATCAAATAACTGTGAAAGGAACAAAAATAAATCATAAAAGGGCACTTTTCATGGCAGTTCGGTGAGCTGTGCATCTGTGACTCCTCAGGAATGCAAGTACCTGGTTCTAATAAACTACTCAAAATGTTGCATTTATCAATAAAGTGGTAATATCTGCTCACAGACAGATAACTGCACTGGTAGAACATAAATACATGCATTATTTATATACCTACGTAAGTAAAATTAACAGTTATACTGGAGCATGTAGAATTAAAATATTGCACACAGCTAGTGACAGACAAATGAAATTGTCAGTATTTTGAAGTCTTTTGATTCACTTTCTGCTTTAAGGTGGCATTAGACTGAACCATAAGGTGTGTTTTTTATACTGCTCTATGGTCATTGTCCATGTAACTTGAGCATGTCATTGGGTTTAGCTAAAGCCTTTTTTATCTTGCTAGAACAATACATTGCTCAAATTCTTATTTCCATTTTTAAAAATGGAAGTGCAAACTAAGCTAATGAAAATATTTCTATGTTTAAAAAAAGTCTTAAAATTATTTATTTGTCCATGATATTGGTAATATGATTCGCATAATTTATGAGAAAAGACCATATATGTGATTTTAACTGCTATGAGAATAAAGGTACAAGTTATTTTCATCACTGAATAACATCCATCCAAGGTTATGGATTAATGCTGCTCATCAGTGCTGCACAGTAAATTCAGAGTAGAACAAGGAATTTTAAATTAAAAAAACTTGGGACAATATAAATAAAACATTAAAAGAAGCAAATATTAGTTATGCCATCTTCCTTTTCATAACCTGGATGAGTTAGCCCAGTAATAGGTAAATAAGAAAAGGAGAGAAAATACTGTTTGGAAGTTTAACTGGAAAAAAAAAAAGTATCCGGGAAAATCTAATTAACCTTCTCGTCCTTTTTCGTGCTTGGGTCCCTCCTAGGAAATAATCCTGTCCTGGAGGTTGCGGCTCCGTGTGCCACCCCGGAGCCATTCCCGTTTCCGTGCCCGTTCCCTGCGGGGCGCTCCAACCCCGGCATGGCCGAGCGCAGCCGCTCCCGCTGCCCCGGGGCGGGGCTTCCCTGCGCCAGCCAATCAGACCGCGCCGATTGTCCGCCGGCCCCGCCCCTCCGCCTTTGCACCAATCCCCTTCCCGTGCGTCGTTTCCTTCCCCGCCTCCGTAGACGGAAGATGGCGGCCGCTGCAGCCAATGGGGCGGCGGGGGCGGGGCTGGCAGAGGCCGCGCGGCGCGCACGCGGCGGCAGCCGGGGCGGCTCTGAGGGAGCCGGACCGGGACAGGAACACCGGCAGGGACAGGGACCGGGACCGGGACACGGCCGGGACAGGAACACCGGCAGGGACAGGGACCGGGATACGGCCGGGATAGGAACACCGGCAGGGACAGGGACCGGGACCGGGACCGGGACAGGAACACCGGCAGGGATCGGGGTAAGGAACACCGGCAGGGACCGGGACCGGGACACGGCCGGGATAGGAACACCGGCAGGGACCGGGGTAAGGATGGGGATAAGGAACACCGACAGGACAGGGATAAGGATCCGGTAAGGAACGCCGGCAGGGACAGGGATAGGGATAAGGAACGGGATAAGGAACACCGGCAGGGACTGGGATAAGGATCGGGGAAGGAACACCGGCAGGGATAAAGATCCGGTAAGGAATACCGGCAGGACAGGGATAAGGATCGGGATAAGGAACACCGGCAGTTACAGGGATAAGGATCGGGATAAGGAACACCGGCAGGGACAGGAACAGGGATAATATCGGGATAAGGAACACCGGCAGGACAGGGATAAGGATCCGGTAAGGAACACCGGCAGGGACAGGAACAGGGATAAGGATCGGGATAAGGAACACCGGCAGGGACAGGCTGCCCAGGGCAGTGGTGGAATCCCCGTCCCTTGGAGATGTCCAGAGCCCTGTGGATGTGGTGCCTGGGGACACGGTTTGCTGGTGGCATTGGCAGTGCTGGCTTGATGCCTGGACTGGATCATAAATGCTTTTCCAGCCTTAATGAGTTGTGATTTAATGCAATTTATGTATTAGGAAGTTACGCTGGTGAGCGCCCGCTGACCTCACCCGGGTTTGGTGCAGATGGGAATCTTTATTAACGATAGTGACAGTCTAAAACAACAAAAAAACCCACACCCAAACAAATCTGGAAGAGGTCAGAAGAAGAAATGAAAGTTGCAGTTTGTGTGGTTTTGTTTGGTAGTTTTACTCTTTTGGGGAGAAAAAGGAAAAGAAACTTTTCTATGGTTTTGAATAAAAAAGTAGTTACAGAAACTACTGCCAAAGCTGTGTTATGCATATCCTAAACTTCTATTTTATATAATGAACAGAATATCCTTAAGTAAACTGTGTTGCAGAATTAACTTTTCCTACAAGATACACGGAGGGGAATTGTCAATTCTGTGTTTCGTTACTGGCTCATATTGGTTATAATCCTATAATTCTAAATAAATTTTTCCTAGACGTGTTATATACTTGAAAGAATGCAGAAACACAAACTCTTGTCTTAGTATGCTGGTTTTTAGGTCTGTAAAAACTTTGTTCTCTGAACTAAGTTATGTTAATGCCTTTTTTTCCTCATATTTCAGTGGGTTTCCTGCTTGAGAGAATAATCAGATTCAGTGAAGTGTGTGTGCAGAGCAGCTCCTGAAGATAATTGTTCGTGTCAGCAGAGAGATTGAACAGGTTTGTGTTATGTGAATCCCATGGTTTCTACATGCTGATTTTACAGCACCTAGAAGTTTGTTTAAAGTTTGCATGTTGGATTCTGTTTGTTTGGAGTTAAAGACTGGTGTAGCTGTTTGTTTTCCTCCAAATATCTTTTTATGGGGTCTAGGAACAGCCCTGTAGGGAAAGGTGGGCCTGGAATTCCTGGGCAGCCTCTGCATACATTGGCATGACCTGGGCCCTGCCTGTTTATTCTGCAGTCTTAGACCTTCTGGAAATAAATATATTAATTTATTTTTTCCACATAAGAGTTCTTCTGTGCATGGATTGATGATGTTCAGGTGGCTTAAAATCTTTTTTAAAAAAGAGCATAGAATCATAGAATGGTTTGGGTTGAAAGGGGCCTTAAATCACCGCATTCCAACCCCCTGCCGTGGGCAGGGACACCTTCCACCAGGTTACTCCAAGCCCCATCCAAGCCTGGCCTTGAACATTCCCAGGAATGGGGCACCCACAGCTGCTCTGGGCAACCTGTGCCAGGGCCTCACCACCCTCACAGAGAAGAATTTCTTCCTGCCCTCTGTCAGTTTAAATCCCCTTGTCCTGTCACTCCAGGCTCTGGTAAATAGTCTCTCTCCATCTTTCTTGCAGGCTCCCTTCAGGTACTGGAAGGCTGCAATTATGTCACCCCAAAGCCTTCTCTTTTCCAGGCTGAACAATCCCAATTCTCTCAACCTTTCAAGATGAATTTTTTAAAAATGCTTTTTTCTTTCACTGCATCATTTTTGCAGGGCAGCCCTGGGGTCTGGTCTGTACCTGACTGTGTGGGAGGTCTCCTGAGAGACCAGATGGTAGTTGCCTGCTGGCAGCGTTTTCCAGCTTTGTTGTGCTTTTTACTGGAAGTATAAAAAATAATGGTATTTTCAAGCTTTTCTGGAGCGAAAATGAGCAAAACATAAGGAAATCAGCACTACCGTGCTGCTCAGCTGTGTTGATACCAAGCTGCTTCTGCAGACAATCTAAAACTTGGGTTTATTTGGTGAATGAAAAGATGTTTATTATGGGGCTCAGCTTCTCCTGTGTGAGGACAAGCCCATTAGTGGCTTTCACAGCAGACATTAAAAAGAAGCATTGAGAATTGTGAATCAGGGTCTTGGCACGGTTTTGGAGTGTGCTTTTGCACTCTAGAGCAGTTCAGGTGCAAAATGGGCAATGGAGGATACAAGAAAAGCAGAAAAAGAGCATATTGCCCAATCCCTTGTGGGGTTAGGAAATTCAACCTCAAATGTGCCTTTGCCCTCCTCAGGGACCTTCACCCTGACCCACCACCCACTTCTCCTTCATCTCTTCCCTTCTCATGTCCCTGCAACTGTCCCCTTTCCTTCAACAGAGGAGTTAAAAGAGTTACATAAATTCCTGCTGGTGCATTTTCCTCTCTTATTTCCTCCTGCATTTAATTTGGGGCTGGTTAGTTAAATGCATGTGGAGGTAACTTCTGAACGTGACTGAGACAGTGCTTTTTTAGCTTCTTAAGTGAGTGAAGGTGGAGGGACTGGGAAATGGGATAGAGATGGATGCTTTGGTAAATAAAGCTCCAGACTGGGAGTGAAGGATGTCTGATGCCAGAATATTGCCTTGATTGAATTGTTCCTATGATGTATTTTTGCCTTAGCTGATATTTCAATGCAAGTTTTAACAAAATATTTCAGTGAGAAGGAAGGAGGAAGTGGGGGTGGGAAAGAAGCAGCTCAGCCAGTGTACAGGGCTGTAAAAATCACACTCAAATTGCAGCAGCACAAACACTGGGTAATTCCATGAGGCTGTTCTGAAGGTCCCAGCATAGAATGTGTTTTCTGTCTAGGTCTTATAGATTGAGTCTTTTCAACAACCAAAATAATTTAGAAGTATTGGCAGGAAGCAAATATTTGCAGCTGTCCATTTTCCAAGTCTATATTATGCTATAAACTCTTCAATCTGATAAATTTTGATTCTGTTTCTGTCAGGTGTTAAAGTCCAGAAGGACTATTACATTATCTAGTCTGATCTCCTTTGCAACATAACCCATCTGTACTGTTGTTTATACCCTTTACAGACTGGAATTGATCACCCCTTCTTCACATTCATCTGAAAGCCCTTCTTCCAGATTGTTAATATTATCAGGGTTTTGTATTGTTTTTTATCACACTGTTTGTATTGCTGAAAATGTTTTGAGGTTAAACTTAATGTTTAGTTTGAGACTAAAACTTGAGTTTGTTTTCCTCTTTGAGATTTGTTTTATATGAGAATGCACTGTGGCCTTGAAAGGGCACTTGCTATATTTTTTTAATTCTGTATTTTTCCAGATAAATGAAAGCCTAATAAAAAATCAAAATGAAAGGGTTCTTTGTTTAATATGGCAACTGAATTTTAGCTGTAAAAATACAGGTGAATTAAAGCACTCTTCTTAGTTCTTATGCTGACTTGAATTAAATTATGCAAATCCAAAATTAAAGTAAAATGATTGTTTTGCTGTATTGTTTATAACCTTTCTTGCAATTGCTTTATTTCTTCAGCAGAAACTTAATTTTTTTTTGTGTTTTTAACTGATTAACAACTTTTCACTTGCAGCTCTCTGCAGCTCACTGTAACTACTGAATCTTTTTTCTACTGCTTGTTATTTCAGGGCAAAACCATTGCTCAGCTTCTCATTAAAAATAAGATACAAAAGTGCTGTACAATTGGTGAGCAGTTAAATTGGTGAGAAGGCAGCTCAGCATTAAGTTAAAATTGGCAAACTGGAGTTGTATGCTGGCAGTACCTGGAATAGGAAGCTTCAGGTATTGTTCACTTTTCAGTAATTTGGGGATCTTTTCATAATAATAATTTGTGTATCTTTGTTGCTATGGCAGTGAGTGGGAGGGCTGGAATTAAGTGCTATTACTCCTTTGTGCAATCAGAAGGGACAAGCAGCTGTGAAAGCAAAATTTCTTGTTTAGAAACACACAGCTCTTAGTAGCAGTTCTAACTGACTGCAGTTTTTGTGCAGTTCATGAAGGAGTTTTTTGAGGTAAGAGGATTTGATTTCAGTTTATTCAATGTCTGCCAGGATATATAAGGAAATACATGACTCAGTTTTGAAAGGGAGAAAAACAGATCTAAAGAAAAGTTAATTCTAGTGGTTTAATGTCTTGGGCAGCTATTACTTTAGGTGTGCATTGAACACTCCTGCTTCAGGAGTGTTTGTGAGAGTTAGATCTGAGTGGAGGAGTTGAGAGAGGAAGGGTTTTGTAGTTGCTGGCTTTGGTTTGTTGGTCCCTCTTCCCTAGGAAATGTGAGTGCTGGGTGTTTCTGAGCTCAGCACTTGTGGATGCTGCAAGAGCAAATACAAATGCACACAGGTCAGTCATGTATCTCACATTGTTATCAAGTCTGAATGATCCAGATCTGTGGATTAAAATCACCAAATGAGACTTTAATAAAGAACGTGTGTATTGTTAACCTCTGATAAAGTCGTGGCGTAGTTCAATTTGGTTGGGTTTTTTTCCTTCTGTTTTTTCTGCTAGATAGCTCTAAGCGAAGAGTGTGATTTTTGGTTAACGGTCTGATTTGAGGAACAGAGGCTTTTAAAAGGAAGAAAAAACCATACTGGTGCTTTATTAACGCCCGGGTTTATTATTATTATTATTATTATTATTATTAATTACTGGCTGGGGTAAATCGCGATGCCGCTCTGCGCTGCTCTGCGGCGGTCACTGGCGACACCCGGTGGCCGGGAGCGGAATGACAGCCGCGGTCTGTCCCAGATTTTTGGGCTTTTCCACCCAAACCCTTGGCACTGGGCGTGCCTGCGTGGAGGGGCACGCTCAGCTCCTTAGGCTGCTGTCCCCACAGTTCTAGGAGAGAGGCCACCTTAAGCTGGAAGCTGCGTGCTCTCTGTGCACACACATGCCCTCTTACTAAATTCCTAATGCTGCTTTTGGAGCTATGGACTGAGCAAATACTGTGGCTTGCTGTTGTCTGCCTGGAAGTGTGGTATCTTCCAGAAAGGAATAATGAGCCAGCTTATCTCAGAGTTGCTTGTTTCTCAGTCTGCCTTCCTATTTGGGTTCTTTGCTGTGCAAGGACAGTGGTGGGTGCCAGGCTGGCGGGGTTATAAAAGCAGATGAAGACAGTTAAAGTTTTTACCCCCACTGTTATAACTGGGAAGTATTTTGTAAGATAAACTTTATGATTTCTGCTCCATATTTTATTTATGGTCAGTTTATACTTTTAAACTCTTCTGCCAGTATTGTTCTTGAGTAGCTCCCCTCCCTCCCCAGCATTTATTCCTTTGATGTATTTGTAGATAGTAATTGTATCCCCTTCAGTCTCTGTCTTTGCCAAGCTACAGAAGGCAAAGCATCCAGCTACTTCTTGTGAAATAAACAGTCCATTACCTGCATCGTCTCACCCTTCCTTCTCTGCACTTGATTATGGCTTAGCTATCAAGACATTGGCCTCAGCAAAGGGCACTGCTGGGAGCCTGCTATGACCCTGTGAAATGTGGGTTTACTTAAGCATTGAGAACAAACATGGCTTGAGAGCAGGGTTATTAAAATGCAAAAAGCTCTCGACTTTGCTTTTTATCCCTGCATTATTTTGGGGCAGCAGGCTGCTGAAGGCATTGGAAAGGTGTTTGAGGATCTCAGAAAAGAAAGTTCCCCACCTAGGTCTTCAGGGTTTGTGGGTCCTAACAAAAACATGGAGTTCTGGTTTTGCCAGCAGGGATTGTCTGTGCTGCTGCATGCAGAAGATCTCTTGATCAGAGAGTCTGGAGTATCAATACCTGCCCATTTTCTCCTTTGTCCTTCCCTTTCATGATTTTATTTCTTGTGACTGAGTCCTAAATCACTTAAAGAGTGAAAAAACAGGTGAATGTGAACTTCCAGTGGAGCATGGAAAATCACTGTGCATTTGAGTGCCATGAAAAGTAAAAGCTGATTTTTTTTTTTAAATCTTTTATGGCATTGGTAAAGCTGCTGCTGAGTTCCGTGTATGGTTCAAGAGTAAGCAGTGTCTAAAGGCTCCTGAAAACAAAGAGCTGAAGAGAGTGCCTTGTATGGCTTCAATGTCCACATCCTCAATGCCTTAGCATCTTTTGTGGAGACTCAAAAGTGAATTCTCCTGATCAGGATGAAGGCAACATAGCTCTGAATCCCTTTATTTCAGCCTCTTCCATCTTCCTGTTGTCACTTAGATGACATCTTTTCCTTTTGTCTGCTACAAAGCATTGAAAATTGAGCTTAGGGCATGATAAAGATTCAGCAGAGCCTCCAGCTGTCAGCCTGTGCACAAAGAGCATGTTTTGGAAACTGATAGTCTGTGAACTGTCACGGGTACACAGGGCTCTCAGGTTTCTCTTGTTGCTTTGAAACTGGAGAGGGTCTGACAAATTACCTTGACGTGGGGATGTTCTGGAGTAGCTAAATATAAAAAAAAAAAAGGATATTGTGGGATGTGACTGGCAGAGACACCTTAGTGATCTGCAAGTTCTGGGGAAGCCGATGAGGAAAAGGAGAAGTCATTTTCCCTGCGTAGGCTTGGCAGATGTTTGTGCCTGTGGAATAGATCTGGAACTGCAGAGAATTGCTTGGGCAGTGGTGTTAGAGTGGGGCTGAGAATTACCAAGCACAAAAGTGTTGTTTATCTTGTATTCCCCTACATGTGCATGTGTAGGGGAATCTTCTTATCTGTTCAGCAGTGACTGATTTAAGCTTGGGTTGTTAAGAAAAGAGTCCTGAAAACATAATAGCTTGTGTTTTGAAGAATGAACTCTGATAATGAAGTGTACTTAAGGTAAATTACTGTTGTGAAAGAATTTCTGAAGTATTCCAGTAAATAAAACATTGACTTTATGTCATTGTAGGTATTTTGGCACCAGTGTGTGGTAGTGGAAACTCTTTTTCCAGTTACAGCAAAGTTTCATTATATCCTTTTATTATGGTTGCTGCTAAATTCAGGCTGAAATTTCCCAGGCTTCCTGTGGTGTAGAAATAAATAATTTGGAAGAATTTCAGCAAGTTTTATTAATCATTGGGAAGACTTCTTACTTATTTCCAGGTTTCTTCTATATGAGGATGCTGGTAGTAAGTGGCAGTGTCTAAATTGAAGGAAATAAATGGTGTTGTTTCAGAGTCACTAAATTATTCATGCAGCTGTGCAAGTAATTTTTTCCTTTCACCTTTCTCTGTAGGGTGGATCACTGGTGTTGTCCGTTCATGTGGTGTTTTGTTCAGCTTAAAATGGCCCTGAAATTCATCACCCTTGGAGTCCTTTCTTGTAATCCCAAACTTGAAAGGGCATCAGAGCACTTTCTGACTGTGGAATTTGCAGGTGCACCACGGTGTCACAGTGACTTCTGCATTGTATCTTGTAGTGTAGACATTCAGAACAGGGCTTTTTGTGTGAAAGTGTGCTGCTGCCTGTACTCACTAATGTTTGTGTGCACAAGGATTGTGAGTTGGGCAAACACTCTCCTTGTTTCACTGATTGGGAAAGCGAGGAGTGAATGTTGGTCCTTGCTGGGAATTGCTCAGCAAGCTGTTCTGCCACAGTCAGGACTGGGAAGTGTTTGTAGGCCAGGCTCTTGTTCAAATCCACTTAGGTAAATACTTTATTTCTGTCTGATTTGAGATGACCATCTCAGTGCATAGCTCTAGTGCCAAGTCAGACAGCAAAGCTGTTGGACCTCTTCACAAAGGAAAATGCTGTTGGTGAGCATGACCCTCCTCTGAGCTGCTCGTGGCTGCTGTGTTGAAGTGTGAATGGATCAAAACTTAATGCTACATGCAGGTGACCATTGTACCCTCTGTGTTTGATTTCCAGCAGCTGTGTCTGTCCGTTATTTGAGAGGCTGATTAGTCCTGAATCTTCTTTCCTGTGTTTGTGGTCACGAGAAGTCGTCTCGGTGTGATGTGTTCGGTGGGAGGTGCTCGCAGGAGAAAGGAAATGACTTTTCTGTGGTGCCTGTGGTCTGATGAGATAAGCACAAGTGCAGAAGGCTGAGACTTGGATTCTCTTCAAGGTTTGTAGCAGACTGGCAGGATAGCTGTGGTTCCATTACAGGCAGCAGGCACAAGCCTCATCTTTGACTCCCATGTCTCAGTGCAAAAACCCGAGCCCAGCACTAGGACAGTTTCCCTGTTCTCCAGAATCCATTTGTTGTTCACCTCTCCAGAAGCTTCTGAGAGTGCAATTTGGGCATAGATGAGCTTTCAGAGTGTCTTTAAAGACAGTATTCTGTGCCAGAAAAAAAAAAAAAAAAAAAAAAAAAAAAAACATAATATATAGAATTTAGAATACAAATAGCCCAATTGCAGTATCTCTTTCTCTAATTTACCCTTTGCCTGGGACCCTTTCAGACCTGCTTTTATGAAATAGGATTGCTTCTGCTGCAGCTTGATCTGAGAATAGCCATGAGAGCAAAATAGAGCATCTCTTATCCTCTTATTACTCCTTTATTGGATGACCACCTCACCCACACCTGGATGCAGTCAGTCACATCCTCTGCCTGCTGAGGTCACTACAAGGAAAGCTCCCCCTCACAGGGAGGTTCTTGGCTGGGTCCAGCTGCTCATGGCAGAGTGGGATTTCAGGGACAGCTTCCTTTGTGGCTCCTCTGTTAGTAGGTCTGTGTCACAGGCGTGGAATTGGATGAAAAGAGAAGATTGAAAAGGGATATTCTCAAATGTGTTTGAATCATTGTTTTACACAGTTTCTTAGAGTATTTAGAAACTGTGTTTCCCATGTTTGTGTCAGGGTCTTCTAAATTGTTCTAGAGAAGGTAGGTTAGCAATCTGAGCATCATATTTTTAAAAAATTGCCTTAATTTTGAAGCCAAAATTTGTAATTTGGCACTCCTATTATTTTGTATAGTGCTTTCTAGCTTATTTGAGTTTTTTTTTTTTTTTGTAGATTGGATTATTCTACATTTTTTCAATTGGTCATCTGATATTCTCTTTGTTTCATGTATTTCTGTCAATAGGCTTTGAATTACTGAAGCTTGAATGTTAATTGCACTTTGGACCTGAAGGCATGCCTAAATGTTCTAGATCTCTGTAGATCTCCACCATATTTTCCATTGTTGGATGCAAAATCAGGATAGATCTTTCTAGTTTGAATGCAGAATCTTACACCAAACAAAAAAAAAATTAAAAGTTTTCTTTTGATGAAAATAGTCACTGTATGGTTTTTGTGATCTATGCATTTAAAGCTATGCTTGATCCAGTTCAGAAGTTGTTTTCACATTCTCTCTATGGATGTCCAGTATAATATTCAAAAAAGGTTTTGTTTCTGCATTGATGTGAACAGTTGCTTATGTCCCCAAAAGATGAATTCAGAACAGTTGTAGTTTCCATTTAATTTTTTTTAAAATTATTGAATCCCAAAGCACTGAGCACCTGGGCCTTTTTCCCTTTATTCTCTCCTACCTCTGACTCTTACTTTTTCCCTCCAGCCAATGCTGTTTAAGGCCATTTCCTTGGTTCTCTCTCCAACCTACAGCTCCTCTCTCCATTGCTAAACAGGATTGTACCCCAAAGCTCAGTCCTGGTGGGAGGGCACAAGTTGATTTCATGAAAGGCAAGTAGCTTGGTAGACCTAATGTTTTTGATCTTCCCCGAGACTTTGTGTTTTATCTTTTTCCTCCTTTTTATTCTTCTGATACAATTTTCTCTGTACTGCAAATGAAGAATTACACGGAGCTTCTTTCTGACTGTGCCTTACATTTGGAAGCAAGATGTAGCTGATTGGAGAGGATGAAATAATTCTCTTGGCAGTTACATCTTGTCTCTGCACTTTAGCATAGCCTCTCGTGCATTTTATTCCCTTCCTGCCTGATGACTAAATGCTCTTTGCCTTCAGCAGGCTTTATGGGAATGCTGGAAAAACCCCTTCTCCCTCTGCTTGGGTGAAACAACAAACCCAGCTATGGGAGAGTGCGTGCTGGAGAAACTGAGCGTTCCTGAGGGGTTTTTGTGCTTCCCCTCTGTGCTCAGGTCATGTGCTGGTCTGTCTTCTGCTGGGGAGTGGTGCCAGTGAGGACAGGTCTCTGCAGGCTGCTGTGTGTTCTCCCTGCACTGGGGCAGTGCAGCCCTGCTGTGTTCTCCCTGCACTGGGGCAGTGCAGCCCTGCTGTGTTCTCCCTGCACTGGAGAGGTGCAGCACTGCTGTGTTCTCCCTGCACTGGGGCAGTGCAGCCCTGCTGTGTTCTCCCTGCACTGAGGCAGTGCAGCACTGCTGTGTTCTCCCTGCACTGGGGCAGTGCAGCACTGCTGTGTTCTCCCTGCCCTGGAGAGGTGCAGCCCTGGTGTGTTCTCCCTGCCCTGGCAGCTCTGCTCCCCAATGCAATCCACATGTCCTGTGCATGCACAGGGTTTGCTCTCAGCTTGCTCTGGAACTTGTAATAATTGTGAAAATAAAGGGAGGGTCTGTTTGTATTGTTTATGGTAGGAAAGAACAGTGCAAGATTTCATCTGCTGCTGTTCAGATCCCTTGCTATTTTTGGTATTTGACCTCTGCAGAGAAGATTGCCAGAACTACAGGTCTTTTTCATTTTTATTACGTGTTTCTGCCCTCCTACTCGTAAGTTACTCTTACGTTAGTGATTAAATCTTTGAGAATGTGCCATTTTTCCACATTTTTCCATGTATTTTTCAAAGGAAAAGCTGTATTTCTGTATATTTTTGAGCTAACATTCCCTTTTGGAAAGGAGAACTATGCAACTTGGCAGCATCTTCTGTACACCACTCAAAGGAAAAGGGAAATAACTTATGATTTGCTGGTTTATCTTTTGAAAAACATTCTGGATTGAAGAGGACTGATGAGCCTGTTGGCTTGAACTGAAGCTCCAACGATTAGAATGTTAGACAAACAGCACAGCAGTAAGTGCTGGGACAATGTTAAGTTTAGTTTGTGCAGATAGGTGTTTGCTTTTCATTTCTCCACCATTGGAAAGGGCTGCCTTTAGCACAGCTGTCTGCTTCTAGTCTTGCTGTGTGGTTGTTTCCACACTCCACCAGTAAAAAGCACATAACAAAGGCATCTGGAAATCCTGTCCTGCCTCTTTGGCATCACTTCCACTTCGTGCCTTCTATTCTAAACATTGAGTTTATTTCTTTTTTAAAGGAGCCTTGTAGGATGCCCTGGAGGTCAAAATACTTTAGGTTATTTCAGAGAATGGTATTTTTTCTGAGTTCCCAAGATGTAATGAGTTTTGAGTGTCCTTCCAGAAGCTTATTGTTTCTGGTAGTTGTGGTATCCAGGAGATGTGCAGGGGTTGCATGTAAGTGTGTACTTAATTCATAGAACACATCCTCTGAGTGTTGTTCCAAGTCTGATAGAAGTTTCAGGTTTAATTTATAAAAAGTGGCTTTTCCTGGCTCGGGGGGTGCAGGTGTGGATGCAGCTGAAAGATTCAGCTGTTCCACGTAAGGCATGGTGATCCCTAAGGATGGGATTCACCTCTGTGTCAAGCACAAGTGAGTGCCAGAGCCAGACACCTTCAGCCAGGTGCTGGTGTGTCACCCCACTGGTGGAGGTTCCTGGCACCTTGACGTCCCCTGGATTTTGTCAGTGTTGAGACTGTAGATCCAGACTTGGCTGGAGAAACTGAAAAACCTGAATTTAATGAATTAACTCACATTCTGAGCAGAGGAGGATCCATGGGGAAAGAAGAGCTTTTGGCCAGTGCCCTCTGTGATTTTTTTCTGAGACTGGAGTAGTCCAAGAGCAGGCTGTTGGTAAGAGTCTGTGTCAGAGACTTTGTCATACAAACAAAGTTCTTCTCTCTGATCATCACAACTGGCTGTTGTGCTGTGTCCCAAACATTTCAAAGACTCTGATTTTGCCAAAGGATTCTTTGGAAAATAGATACCTCTGTTGTTGAACTTAAGGAACTGAAAGTGCTTCAGTGCAGAGGACCGTGTGCTCTGTAGGTGGCTGCAGTCCAGTGCTTAGTTATCTTCTATTGTGTTTGGAAGACCATTGTTTCCTATTTGTCTCATAAATTTAACACAGATCCTATTCCTGCCATTTAAACTTTCCCATCAAAATACAACAGTGACTTCCCCTTCTGAAAAGGAAGGGCTGGCAGCTACACCCTGAAGTTTGAGCATGAATTGTTTATATAACCTTCAATCATAATTTCATAATAGTCTGAAGACTTTCTTGCTAAAGCAGACATTTTACTGAGTTTTTAGCAAAAACCTGGCTGCCATCGAACACAAGTCTGAGTTGTTGCAGTGGAAATAGAATTGAACCTTCACCTTCCTGATGGCAGAAATTGCATTTCTGTCTGAAAACATGAACATCATTTTCTGGTATTTCAGAATAGCTGTAGTTAAGTCATTCTGGGCAAAAGCTTATGAGTTGTGTTGAGCTAATTTTATTTCCCAGAAAATATTAAAACTGAATGAACCTCCTTTTGCAGACTCTGGCTTTTTACAACTGCTGGGTATTTGCAGAGTTCCCTCACCTTCCCCAGCAGTAAAAGCTCTGACATGAGTGTTGTAGAAACTGCTTATTGAAAGATACTCTCTATCATAGTCAGTAATATTTAAACAACTGCAGCTTGCCTTCCAAATGGATGACATTTGTCAGGAACGTGTCTGTTTGGGTTTACTTGGCCTTTTGAGTAGACTAAGTCTGAATATTTAGAGCTTTAAATTCAGGTCAGCTTGGAAAACTATATTTTTCTTACAAGAAATTTACAGAGAGAACTAGATTTTTTTAGTAACCATAGCACTGCAGGAGAGCTGGTTTACGAAAACTCCTTTCTCCACCCTCAAGCATGTGTGTTTGAAACTCTATTTAAATAGAAGCTTCCATTGTAATTCTTCAGTTCAGTGAATTAAGCAGTTTTCCTAATTAATAATGTTTAAAATATTTTATTTCTTCAGTTAATATTATTCATTTGCATGGCTGTTTAACAGTTTTGTGTTTAAGCAGCATAGCAAACAGCATTTGAGAGCAGTTGGCTTTATGTAATAGTTCTAGTAAAAGCTTGTTTCATTTGAGGACATACCCAGAAAAGTAAGGAAGGAACAAGTTCTGTGGGTAGGTTGTGCACAGGGTAATGCCAGAAAACACGTTGAACTTCTTTGCTTCAGAGGGGGAAGGAGTTTCCACAGGATGTCTGCATTTTATGGCAAAAATGACTGGTAGATGTGCTCTGAAAGGTTGCTTTGATGTAGAAGATCAACCTGGAGACCTCATTTTCAGGATATTGCTGAGGCAAATCGCTTAGTGAGATTATTTGTGACTTGGGAATTAAGTTTTTATGTGTGCCTGCTTAAGCTGTTTTTTAAGAATTTGCTGGTTTGTCACATGGTGTCGTGAATATTTGTGCTCACCAAACCAGAGGAGGGAAAGCAAACCCTTGAAACCACAAACAACGCCAAGAAGAAAAAAAAAAAGGCAGAATGCAGCTTTGTCATAGCAACTTCTCCTTTGTTTTTAGTCTCTCATGGGCAATTAAAATAATTGCAACTAAAGAAAGTAATACATGGAAGCTTGCACATTCCACCCCTAAAAATCCAGCCTGGAGAATTTGCAGAAAAATTGATGATAGAACAGCTGGGAAGGCATGAGAATATTTTCTCACATTCTGTGTCTGCCTGATTTTTATTCCATTTCTCTTTGTTTTTTGTTTTTTGTTTGGTTTTTTTTTTTAAGGGTCATTTCATGCATATAGTACCTGGGATTGGCTGCTGGTCCAGACCTTAAGGAGATATCAGTACCAGTGAGAAATCACTGGAGTGTTGACCCCTTAAAACCTGCTGTGATTCCCTGAATGTTTTGGTTTGGATTCTTTTTAAATGCAGAATAGTGGTCTCATTGAACCTGTGTTTTTGACAGAAGTGGATGACTGTAATAACATACCTACATCTTGCTTTAAAAAATGGTTGTACTTTGTGAACCACTAAAACCATTGCAAATATCCCTTTAAAGTGTAAATGCTGCTGTGCTTTTCCTGACTCTGAATTGATGGAGTCTTTACTGCAATTACAGAATAGAAGTTTCTGTTGTGTTATAGAAAGGAAAAGTAAGTTTTTCTTTTTTTTTTTTTTAGGGCATATTTTCAAAGTGAATCTGTGAGAGTATCCAAGAGAATTTTGTTTAATTTTGGTTTTGCTGGGTAAAGTTTGCATTTGTGTGCATTGCTGAAATAGTTTGGGTTTCTAGAAGGGTTCAGTAGTGCCAGAGAGGAATTGCCTCTGAAGGGAAGATTTTTATCAGCTGCACTAAAAGCCAGTGTTCTGTGGTTTTACAGGAGGCTCAGAAAACACTAAAGTGCTTAATTGCAGTGAATTCCACAGGTCACATCTCCTGTTTAGGTGGTCCCTGAAATGCTGGCAGGTGTTTCTGTGCGTCATTGGGCACCTAAATACTTGTAAAATTACCTCACCAGGCCATTTCAGGCTGTAGTGCTGTGTAATTTTGGTCTTATTCTCTGCCTCCTTTGGGCATGTCCCTCAGCACAGAAGTTCACTGAAGAAGTCTCCTGCCTTTGTAGTGATGCAGCTGTTTGTGGGCTGTGCTTCCCAGAACAAAACTTGTTTCTCCTCAGGTAGAGGGGGTGACTTCATTTTGTTTCCACTTGTGGAGAACATCGTGTTCCTTTATAAAAATAATAAAGCAAATTTAGCTAAGTGACTTCCCCAGGATTCCCAGATAGACTGTTTAATCTGTTAAGGGGATTATCTGGTGTAGTGCTTACAGACACGAGAGACTGAGCTCCTTGAAAGGGGAGCCTTTCCTGTCCTGTGTTCCTGTGAATGAAGTTGTGGTGGGGAGGACATCAGGACAATTGAATTTTAGCTCCGTGCATCACCTCTGCGCAAGATGTTTCCTTGTAAGTCTTTTTAAAGCTAAGACTGTTGAAGAATGTTGTAATTAAAGCTCTCCTTGGCTTTTATTTGTTGCAGGTTTCTGGTGAGATGACGGCACTGGAGAAGGTGGAGGAGCAGCTGGCGGGGCTGCGCATAGCCAGGCGCTGCGTGCCCAGCGAGGAGCCCGCCTACCTGCTGGACATCCACACCTCCAGAGCTGCCCAGCCCGGGGGCAGCCGCTTGGTGGCCGTTTCCTGCTCCAATGAATCCATCAGGGTGTACGACAGGGAGACGCTGGGCTTCCTGCGGGAATACCGCGGCCACGCTGGCGTCCTCAGCGGGGTCAGGTTTGCGCACACGTGCGACAGCGTGGTGTTCTCAGCCTGCAGCCAGGGCACTGTGAAGTGCTGGGATGTTCGCTCAGCCACGCAGAAGCCCGTGCAGGTGTTCAGTGGTTATCCTTCCAACGTCTTCATCAGCTTCGACGTCAGCTGCAGCGACCTCATCGTTTGTGCCGGAACGGAGAAAGTTGAAAAGGACACATTTCTGGTGTTTTGGGATGCAAGAGGCATTACAGACTGTGCCAGTGCCACTAAAGAGCCCTTGGGAGTCTATTCTGAAAGTCACAATGATGACATCACCAAAATCTGTTTTCATCCTAACAAACCCAATTTGGTCGTGTCTGGGTCAACCGATGGCTTGGTGAACGTGTTTGACATCAACAAGGATAATGAAGATGATGCTTTGATATCAACTTGCAATTCAGATTCATCCGTGAGTTCTCTTGGCTGGTCTGGGAAAGACTACAAACAGGTCTATTGCATGACACACGATGAGGGGTTCTGCTGGTGGGACATGGCTCAGCTGGACACCGAGGAGCCAATAACCCTGCTGCACGTTCTGGATGTCAGAGAGTCAGTCTGCACTGAAAACCACGGCCTGCATTACCTGGTGGGTGGCTTGTACCACGAAAAGGCAGGGAAACTCTTCCTGATTGGGGGAACCTCCACAGGAGACATCCACCTGATCAGCTGCAGCACTGCTGGCCTGAGCCTGGTGGGGACCCTGTGTGGGGGACACTCGGCCACCGTCCGCTCCTTCTGCTGGAGCCCCACGGATGAGTCTCTGCTGACGGGTGGAGAGGATGCTCAGCTGTTGCTATGGAAACCTGGGGCTGTGGAAAGGTCCCTCACAAAGAAAGCATCTCTGAAGATCTCTTCTTCCGTGCAGAAGAGAGTGAGAGTTCACAACACCTCCCTCAAAAGCAGGAAAAAGTGAATTGCCTTTTCACAAGTGAGAATCTCTGCTGTGTAGAGCGTTCCTGGTGTTTAATCTCTCTAGGCAATACTTGGCCGTGTTTTATTTGGAGGTTTTCTGTGGAAAGAACTGTGGTGCTTGAATTCCCCCTGGGAATGTATTTCAGTCATCAGAAGAATGCCTTTTATTTTTTTTAAGTTGCTAATATTAATCAGACAAGAGTAAATGTTTGCTCCTGAGTTCTTGAGCAACAGATGCTAAGTCATATTATATAAAACTGTTTCTGTGGTTATTTAATGTCTCAGACAATGTTTTAAATGCGTAATACAGGCCTATGGCTTGCATAGTTTGTTACCTTCCCAATGATATTCCTCCGGCACATTTCAAGAGCTTTTGTATTCCATGCTGTATTCTGCTTTCTTCACAGAAAACTTAATGAAATTGCTCAATTTAGTAAAAGATTTTATGTCACATCTTAATGCCTGAAGGAATTACTTCTTGATGAAACAGAAAATAAGTAGTTTTGCACTGTCACATCACTGGTTTAGAACAAGCTCATAAAGAAGCAGCTGATAGAGCCATCTTTTTCATAGCAGATATGAATGTATTCAACCAAACAGCAGCTAATTTGTATGAGTGTGAGAACTGTTCAACTGGCATTATTTCCTGCATGAAAATATCCAAGAATTTTGCAAGCAGCTTCATTCTCTCCTCCTAAGTGCACCTGGAAGACTGGGTAGATCTTTGGTGGGTTGGAGAAATTGATGGGTGTAATTACACCAGTGGTGTTTAAAATCCCAAACACTGATTTGAAAGAAACTGGTGTCACATGCTCAGTGGGGATGTTGAAACCCAAAAATGAACACTGCCTTATGGAGGAACAGACTGATATGAGGAGACTTTACCAAAACCTTGTAGAGGTTGGCTGGGTCCTTTAAGAAAAGTTTCTCTCTGCAGAGAGGTTTATGTTTGGACATCTCCCCAGGAGAGCTTTGTTTTATTATTCCACCAGATAGCCATTGAGTGCAAAACCAGCCCTGTACTTGTAAAATGGCTGAGACTTCATGCTTCTTCTGCTTTGCTGGCAGACTCCAACCTGTGCTCCTGGCTCTGCACACACTCACCTCCAGCCTTCCCAGGAGCACTGCAGGCAAATGGTGATGGTATTTAGGCTGTAGTTACACATGTGCACTACAACTGAAACCAGCACCACAGTATATTTAAGAATTGCTCTCTTATAGATTAGCTGGCAGAGGATTTAAGAGGGATTTGGTTTATTTTTTTTCCCTTGAGGGTGGATGGGCAATTCTTTCAGAACAACTCCTGAACATCAGGTTTAGAAGATTATCCTGGAGTTTAGAAACAGTTTCTGAGGTACAGAACATACTCTAGTGTGTGGTTACAGCTGTGCTGAAGATGCCTGAATCATCTCTGGAATTGAATCCTTTTCAACCACAAGTATTGAGTTTCCACATGACTTTTCACAAACTGTTAATACCCTTTAGCCACAACTGTGAATCCATTGTTGGTTTGGGTTTGCCTGTTGGTGATAAGTGAGATGATTCACTTGGTTTTGTTACTGCTGATTATTTAAAAGTGCAGCTTCAATTTGAAAATCACAGCTCTCTACACCTTTTTTTTGTCACTTGTGTTAAATTAATGTTGTCCCCAACATCTTTATCTGTTGCTTCCCAGATTACATTGTGCTATTTTGAGATGAGGTGGGCAGTGAGCGTCAGGGCTGTCTTGCACCTGGATCATGTGCCCTCTCAAGATTTGTTATCCCAGGTCACTGTTTTGTTGCCTGTTTTGTGACTGAGAGGACCAAGAGCTTCAGACTCTGACTTCACTGTAAAGCCCTCATGGACCTGACTTGGTTCAGTGCCAAATTGGGGGTGGGGGACTGAAGGGTGATTCTGAGACCTATTTCATTGCAGGTACCCAGTGTATAACTTGCTTTTTAGATGTTTATCCACTCTTTCCCTGGTATCTTGACACATTCATTGGAGTAAAGTCATTGGGTCTGTCTCATGCTTGATTTCTTGAAGACAGGTTTGTGTGCACGTAGAGAAATGCACAGAGAGGGAGCTTGTGCTTGCCCCACTTGCTTTCAAGTGTCTGCTGAGTGAAATTCCAGTGTGCTGTGCCAGCTGCCTCTGAATTAAAGCAGCAGAGGTGGGAGTTCTGGGACTGAAGAGTTTGCAGTATGCAACGTGTGCCTGTTGTCTTGTTTCTGGATTAGGTGGATATTGATTTGTTCTGTATCAGTCACAGCTGAAGCCATTATTTTCTCTGGGAAGCTGATTTCTCCCTTTTACGTGCATAACAGAAATAGCAGCAGAAGGGGAAAAAAATGTGTGTCTGTATCTTGAAATTCTGCAAAGGCACAGCAGCTGTCACGAGACTGAGGCTTGTGTTGCCTCTGAAAATACTCAGTTTTGTTGTTCCTCTTTTTCTTTTGTGTTGACTTTATTTCAGGTTAATACCCACAAAATAAACATAGATGGAAACCACATGTGAACAAGTAATTAGCACTGCTTGCTTGTAGGCTGCAGACACTATTTCATAGAAAGAGCACAGGCAAAATCCATGTGTGATGACATAAATAATAATAGACTCAAAATCAGGTTAACTTGTCCAACAGTATTTAATCTCTTGGGTTAATTTTGACATCTCCAAGTTGGCTTCAGCATTGGTAAGAAACTGTGAATCATGGAATCACAGAATGGTTTGGGTTGGAAGGGACCTTTAAAGGCTATTTAGTCCAACCCCCCTCCAAGGAGAAGGGACATCTTCAATTCAACCAGGTTGCTCACAGCTCCATCCAACCTGAGCTTGAATGTTTCCAGGTTTGGGGCATCTACCACCTCTCTGGGCAACCTGTGCCAGTGTTTTACCACCCTAATTGAAAAAAAGTCTTCCTTATGTATAACCTAAATGTACCCTCTCAGTTCAAAACCTTTACCCCTTGTCCCATCCCAGCAGGGTCTGCTAAAACATTTGTCCATGGGCTCCCTTCAGGTGTGGAAGGACTTCAATAAGGTCTGTCCAGAGCCTTCTCTTCTCCAGGCTGCCTCAGCCTGTGTTCACAGCAGAGGTGCTCCAACCCTCTGAGCACCTCTGTGGCCTCTTTTGAGCCATCTCTCCTGTGCTGGGGGTCCCAGAGCTGGATGCAGCACTGCAGGTGGGCTCTCCCTGGCCCTGCTGCCCGCGCTGCTGGGGCTGCAGCCCAGGATGGGATTGGCTTTCTGGGCTGCAGGCACACACTGCCAGCTCCTGGCCAGCCTCGCCAGCAGCAGCTGGAGTCCTTCTTGGCAGGGCTGATCCCTTCATCCCCAGGGATCCGAGGGCTGCCCTGACCCAGGTGCAGCACCAGCACTTGGTCTTGTTTGGCCTCATGACATTCCTGTGGTCCCACTTCCTGAGCTTGTGCAGGTCCCTCTGGATGGCATCTCATCCTTCAGGAGTGTCAGCAGCCCCTCTGGGCTTGGTGCCATTTGCTGAGGCTGCACTGGATCCCACTGTGTGTGCCATTAATTAAACAGTGCTGGTCCCAGTAGAGACCCCTGGCCTCTGTCTGGACATGGAGCTGGTGACCATTACCCTCTGGGTGTGACCACCCAACCTTCCTCATCCACCCAACAGCCCATCATCAAATCCATCTCTCTCCAGTTCAGGAGGAGGCAGGAGGGGACTGTGTCAAAGGCCTTGCAGGAGTCCAGCCCTGACCTTTACAAACCTTACGTCATTAAAGCTATGTGCAAGTAGCTTTTGGAAATCATCACTGTGTGAATTGTTTAACCCCAGGGGAAGCTTTCATTCCGGAAGCAGTATCAGATTTGTTCCAGTAAATGAAAAGCAGAAATCCAGATAGACTACTTAAATGCAAAAAACAGTGTCCATTTTTATTCAGAGTTTATAGTAAACCTGCTGTATGATATATCTGAGCAGCAGATCATCCTGCTGTAAACATATGAAAATTAACTTACTTGCATTTGGCATGTCCTGAAATGTACTCTTTGTTTCTCTCTCTTGTCTCTGTAATTAAAGTGCAGTACTTGCATGCTCATCACTGTTTTTCAAGTAAAAGATGTTCAGGATGACATCCTGCAGTCTGTGGATAACTTCATCAATTACTCGAGTGTAGGATTTTACCCACACTTTGGAGTTGAGGTGGAAATTTTTTGACAAATCTAAAGGTGTAAATTCATTTCTGGGTGGAATATATTTAGCCAGTTGCCAGCCAGAAGCTATCCTGTGGTCAGATTGTATATGGCACATGTCATGTGTATTCAAACTGCATATCTACACTCAAATATCCCTTAGCAGAGAAGCTGATACAGTAAAACATTAGTAAAGACACAAACTGCAAGCTTTACAGGGTTCCAAGTGACAGCTTTCTCCTGGCTCCTGCTGTGCTGTGGCTCTCTAGGCCAGAGTGTTGTGTGAAGCAGTGCATTTTGTCATGGGAAGTGCTGACTCAGCCCCTGCACACCCCTGGAGCTGCATCTTGTGTTTTGCAGGATCCTGGACCGGTTGGGGTTGGAAGGGACCTCTGGAGATCACCTGATCCAACCCCCTGCTCTTGCAGGTTCACCTGGAGCAGGTTGCACAGGATTGTGTTCAGGCAGGGTTTGAGTATCTCCAAGAGACTCCACAGCCTCTGTGGGCAGCTGTTCCAGTGCTCTGCCACCCTCATAATAAACAAGTTTTTCCTCATATTCAGATGGAACTTCCTGTGCATCAGTTTCTGCCCATTGCCCCTTGTCCTGTCACTGAAAAGAGCCTGGTCCCATCCTCCTGGCACTCACCCTTAAATATTTGTGTTTTGGGGAGTGGCTCCCTTCTGTCAGGAGGGGTTGGGTATGGATGCAGTTAATTGTTAATTGCACTGTCAGTCCATCAGCAAAGCTTTTGTACTCCTGAAAGAACTGACACACTTGCCCATCTCCTAAAGTTCATCTGCATTTGCTGTGGTTAATTTGGATTTTTTTTCTCTTCACCACTTCAAAATGGTCTCCTGTTGCTTGGCTTCTTGGTCTCTTTTGGACGGGGTAGTGGCAAGTTGTGTTGGCACCTGCTTTTCTGAAGAGATGAGTCCTGTTCCTTTCCTCTGGGAGCTCTCCTGCCCTGTGCATGATCTGCTGGACTCTGCACTTCCAACCACACTAAATGGAGAGTGGGAGGCAGAGGGAGGGAAGAAAAGGGTTGGCCCCAGCTGACCTGGGCACCTCTCCAGGGAAGCCCCTTGATAAGGAGCTGGACCTTTTGAAATACATGTACGAGCTTATTCTTGAGCTTGATGGAAGCAGGATAGGACCTCAAATAAATTATGCAAGACATAAACACCCTTTAAGCATAAAAGCCAGTTCCTGTTTGTCTGTGAGATTGTCTGTGTGATTTGGCAGTGAAGCCTGTGAGAAGCAGAAGGTGTTCACTCACCAGGGCTGGGTGTTCTTTACTTCCAGGAGCAGTGAGCAGAGCCACTGGGTGAGCCACTCTTGCTCTCCCTGCTCTGCAGGAACCAATGGATTTGGGGATTCCAAGTACCATGAAAAAACAGGAGGGCAGGAGTTGGTGTGGAGATGACAGCTAAAGGCAGCAATTCACTCTGTGAATTGCTGCAGCTGGGGTGATGACACAGCTCCCTGCTTCCTTAGCAGAGTTATTTGCTGATAACCTGCCAACCAATTGTGAGGATCTTTGATAACTTTTGGTTTCTGTTTTCTTTTCCTGCACCAGTTCTGACCTGGCACAGGTATGCTGGCTCAGGGGAGAGGCGTTACCTGCAGTTGCAGCCACTGCAGGTGTGGCCTCAGCTTCCTGGCAGGCTCTTCTGTCCTGCTGGGATTTCTACATGTGTGCTTCTTCCAGCCTTCCCTCTTGTGTCTTTGCATACTTTGAAATCTAAATTTTGAAAGTTATCTACTTTTCTGGAAATAGAATGTCAGAAAATACTGTTCTGTATACTCTTCTGCAATCTTGGCACCAGTATTTTTAAGGGAATAGATTACATTTTGAATAGCAATTTCAGTCTTACTCTCTAGTGCTCTGACTTAAGATTTGGTGGAGCTCCAGTCTCATAAAGGTGGTACTTGAACAGCCTGTGGCTGCAGGAACTCAGAACTGGCAGTGAGAAATGCTGGGAGGAATTCAGGAGAGCTCTCAGTGGTGATTTAAAGTAATCATTTGGAGAAGTGTCCTGAAAGTGAGTAAAAAGAAGGTCCAATAACTCAAAATACACAGTAGGACACTAAAGGACTCTTGCATCCCAGGTAATATATTTGATATTACTGATTTGGAGAGTATATTAGATAAACACTGAAGCAGTTTTAGAACTGAGTCCAGTTTTCTGGATGTTTTTAATACAGGAATTCTTGATTTTTAAAGGAAATTAATACCTGCAAGTACAATGTATGCCAGCCCTCACTACTTCAGGTCCAGATTAAAATAAATTGAATTTATTTTAATAAATAGTAGGCCAAACAGCTGGAAGAGGCTCCCTTAACTTTTACAGGGACTTCTGGAGAGCAATGCCCATAGACCAAGCACAGTGTTTCTCATTTTTGTCTGATTTCAGAAATGCAGATACATGAAAAATGAAGGCAGAAAGGTAGACTGACATGTCTTGAAGAAACTGAGGCTGACACACTTTTCTGTTGGCAACTCTGACTGGTACAAGGAGATCTCAAAGGTTCCTTTGAAGGTTTTTTCACCCAGGCATTTAGAGAATGCAGAGTGCAGTGTTTTCAAACAGTAATTTGGGCATCATTTGAAGAAGGAAGGCTCAGCACTCCTGAGCACTCACTTCACTCTAGCAATGATCTGGGTGAATTATCTCAGTTTAGGACTGATACATGAGGGATCAGGATAAACAGGGGGATGTTCCTTGGATCAGTTAGGATGGTGGTTGTGCTTTACACCCCAAAAACCAAAGACTGGCTGAGGCCAGCACTGGACAGCCTAGTGTTCATTAGAAAGGAATGAGTATTTTAGAAAACAATCTTGTTTTACTAAATGAAGACACATAATGCTGTATGGGTCAGGAGGATACCTTGAGATAGCAACCCATCAACATGGCAGTAATAAAGATCTTGTGTACCTTTCTAGATGTGTGTGGTATTAAAGCCACAGGTAGATTAAATCATTGTTGGAATTAATTCTTATGGTTGGGTTGAATTCATGGAGTCCTAACTGTAGCAAACAGGAGAAAGTATGAAGGCAATTCAGGAATGCAGTAAAAGGAGCACACAGGCATCCCAGCACATGCCAAGGAATGAATAGTGGCGCTTTGTTAAAACATTTTGGCTAAAATAAGCCCAAATCCTTATTTATTCTTAATAGTGTTATTATTTTGGCATTTCTGTTGTGGTTTATTGCCAGGATGCCTAGACAGTGAGTGAGCTCTAACTCAGCTGTTCTGGGTGAGCTCTGGGCCATGTGCAGGGGGTGAGAGCTGCTCTTCCCTCTCTTGTCCCCACCTGCCAGCCAGGACACTCCTGTCTCCCAGGCTTCACCTCGCTTTTGTTTCAGATCTTCTAAGTGAGCAGGTTTATTCTATTTCATAAAAAAATTTGCTCCCATTTATTTTCTAAACTGTTAGAATGCCCCAGGACTGCATTTAAACGAGACATAGTTGAAGTATTTGTGGTTTCTTGCAGGGGTGTGTATTAGACCCATTTGCCGAATTATTATTAGCCTCATTTAATAGATTTACTAGCATGGCAAAATTAGCATGTGGAGAATTACCTATTTATGCATTAATACAGCAGTTTTAACTGCCTGGTCAATACTCTTTAAAGACACAGACACACAAAAAAATTCCAGAGATTTGATTATAGTTGACAATTTCTGTAGGTGGGGGTGTTTTTAGAGGTTTGTTGGTGCAACGATTCCAAAAAGCTCCACAGTATCTGGTAAATGAAGAGCCAGTGTTTTCCAGATGGCTCTATAAATAAATTTGGTAGATGCAGAAATTAGTGAAGGTATTTCAAGAGCTCCAGGCGTGTTTTTGCACACAGTGCTATGGTGAGCTAATAGAGGAAATGAACTTCCTTTTGTTTGCAAAATACAAAACCCCTCCAGTCCTTAAGGTGTTTTCCACCCCGCCGGGCGAGTTCAGCCACGGTGCAGCTTTTCCCTGTGGATCCTGGGCTTCCACCTGGACCATGCTCAGGAGGTCAAGGGAGAAAGGCCACAGGGAGCTCTGCACAGCTCCTGTGAGTGCAAACCAGAGCTGGGTCAGAATCCAAGGTCCACGAGAATAAATCCTGTACCTGTGGCTGGCCTAGAGGAGCAAGAGCTGAGAGCAGTTGCTGCTGTGTTCGTGTCTTCCCATTCTTTTCCCTATTTTTTTTTAGAGATTCTTTTACTTCCTGTGCAATCTCGTGTCATTTTACTAGAAAAAGAGAGTGTTACTGAACTGACACTTGAGACAGCAGAACCCAGGTAGCCAAGAAGGCCAGTGGCACCTGGTCTTTGTCAGGGCAGTGATTGTCCCCCTGTGCTGGGCACTGGTGAGGGCACACCTCAAACCCTGTGCCCAGTTCTGGCCCCTCACTGCAAGAAAGACACTGAGAGGCTGGAACGAGTCTGGAGAAGGGACTGGAGCTGGGGAAGGGGCTGGAGCACAAGTCAGATGAGGAGCAGCTGAGGGAGCTGGGGGTGTGTAACCTGGAGAACCTGTCACTCTCTGCCAGTCCCTGCCAGGAGGGTGGAGCCAGGTGGGGATCGGACTCTGCTCCCAGGGAACAAGGAACAGGATAAGAGGAAATGGCCTCAAACTGGACCTGGGGAGACTTAGATTGGATGTAAGAAAAAAATTCTTCACAGAAAAAGGTTGTCAAGCATTGGAACAGGCTGTCCAGGCCAGTGGGGGAGTCGCCATCCCTGGAGGGATTAAAAAGGTGTAGATGTGGCACCTGGGGACGTGGTTTAGTGGTGGCCTTGGCAGTGCTGGTTGATGGTTGGACTCAATGATCTTAGAGCTCTCCTCCAGCCTCAATGATTCTGTGGTTCTGTGATCTCTAAGAACCTCCTGTTCCCTGCCTTGCTCTCCTTGATCTCAAACCATTTCAGTTCTTTAGGCAAAGGTGAACCTGACAGTTACCAGGAGAATTCCACCTCCCTGGCTCAGCACAGAAGCACTGGGGCAGCCCCAAAGAAACAGGAAACATGCTGTTTTAAAATAAATATTTTTAATCCCAAACTGCAAGAATGTTACTGAGTGCTCCAAGAGCACTCTCTTGCTCCCTGACATTTTGGGTCGTGGGGCTTCTTGCAGGATATCGAAAAGGAGAGTGGGAAGTGCAGGGCATTGTGCCCACCTGCCCTGTTCTCTGTTGGAATGTGCAGAGGGATCAGGTGTGAGCAGACCTGCTCAGATGGTGGTCTGAGAGGCACTTTGCTCCACTTTTTGGAGCTTGGAATCACTTGTGAATGCCAACAGCTATCAATAAGGTTTTAACATGGTTGACA